TGAACCAAGTTCCTTGTACACAGCATGTTATTTGTTGAAACATATTCTGTTCAATAAGGAAACAGCCAGAATTCGCTGGGGCAAGATAGATCATAATGACATAATTAATCCTTGTTATTTTAAAGGGGAGAGTCCTATTGTCATTACTGTTGGCCGTTAAAATGGAACAAGTGGAAGATCTGCTTGCATTTTCCATGCGTGGCATAACTCTACAAAAGTATTTTAACTTTATTGCTTAAACAGAGAAATGATGCACATAGAATTTACACACAATCTACCAAGAATATGATCACAAAGTGAAGCAAGCAGTAACCACATGAAGAAAGGTGACTGGAAGGGAAATAAAAATGTAAACCATACAAGGCACCTGTTTTTCACCACCTGAGCTTCCAAATGTCTGGCGAAAGCCATTCTGAATGACATTTGAGAGTCCCTCCATGCTGAAACGCTGAAGCAGCAGAAAGCAGAAAAAGGACAGAGAAAGAGCATATGAAATCACAGGGTTACAACCAACAGCACATAACAGGGACAAGAGCAAGAAGATAAAAAGATGAGGGCTAACCATTAAACTATTACTGCACATTAAAAGCTCACCTTTTACAATACTGTACTGAAAAATACATACTGTATTATAAGGTCTTAGTTAAAATCCTTCCACAAAAGTTCATACGTCATGACCTAAAATGTACACTGACAGAGTTTCTACATCATTTTTGGAGAAATAATAATTATATCACTTCATTGAGCCATGTGATATTATAAATAAGGCATCACAATTCATTTCTAGCAACATCAATTCTGAGTTGTTTAGTTAACTTCACTTGGGTGCAGCACTTTTAGCCTATGGCTGGCCTGGCTATGTTCACTAACAAAACAAAATACAACATAAAAATTCCTTCCTTCCTATCAACCTGTTCTTGGAGATTTTCAGGGACGTTAGCAAAAATGGTTAAGAATATAGAAGTAAAAGAACTTCTGACACAAAAACTGGTAGTTGATGTAATTTAGCAAAAGCTAATTAGTTTAAGATAAAGCAGATTTTAAATGGAATTTTATTGTAAGAGAAATTCACCGATCTGTCAACTATATTTGTTTAAAACCATTCAACATGTGACTATCTTAATTTCTCTTACACTTAAAAAAAAACTGCTTAGTTTGTGTTTTAGGAGAATGAGCTAACCATTGTATGTGCAGGTAATGTTCTTGGAACTGGCCATTGCTCTGCATTGGAACAGAGATTGTAGTCAGGGCATACATGCTGAGCACTATTATGATAATTGCGAAAATTATACAATCATACTCAAACGTAATTTTTAAAAAAATATTGTTCTTAACATGCAGGAAGCATAGGCAAGGTTGAGATTCTCTCTGAGCGGCCACCTTGTTTGTGATGCCTAATAAAGATTTTGGGAGGAAATTCCATAATTTAAAAGAATGTTGATCTGTAACAATAGAAGAATAGAGACATATGCTCAAGTTAGGATGGTGTGAGGAATGGTCCAGACTTGGGATGATGGTGTTCCTCAACACTGCTACTCACATTCTTCTTGGTAGTAGAAGATCACTGGGAAGGAAAATACCTATTATCTATTATCAAACATTTCGCTATATATTTCAGAAGGGTGTGGTTGGGTGGGAGAGCAAGAAAATCTAAGGCAGCAAAACTAAATAACAAAGGCCTGAAATTTCATTCCAAAGTTGGGCAGGCAGAGTAGGGACAATTACTGGTTCTGCTGAACCTGATCCAGAAGGTGTCCCAAACCTTCTGTATTTCATTTGGAATGGTGACTCCAGAAAATCTGCAATCTGCCAAGTGGAAGGCCTGCCTCAGTGCACCAGCCCTCGTGAGCAACATGAAAATAAAACAAACAACAACTCTCCTGATCATACCATGACATGCTCCCCACACATGCAACTTCATATCCTAAACCCAACCACCCCACCAAGGGCCCTTATACCCATCCTGCCAAACTTTGCTCCTGTCTCCACTGCCCAAAGTTCCTTATACACACCATGTAAATCTATTCCCTGTACCCACCTCTCAGCTCCTTATTGTTACTATGACAAATTTTGTGCCAGTCCACGTACCCTTACCCACCACCCAGAAGCCACAAGCCAACCACACATCCACCATGGCAGAGAAAATCAGAGATGATGTAAAATTAAGTGATTAACTATCTACAGAAAGGTTCAGTATTTTAAAGAAGAATGTCATTAACTAAAAGGCAGCACTAAATTTCATATAGTCATACTGTACAGAAAAGGCCCTTCAGTCCATCACATCTGTACCACCAAAAATACTACCTAAAGTAGTCCCACTTCCCTGCATTAGGCCTTGAATGTTATGACACTTGAAGTGCTCAGCCAAGAACTTTAATGGTGGTGAGGTTTCCCACCTCAGGCAGTGCATTCAAGATCACTAATACCCTCCGGATAGAAAAGGTTTTCCTCAAATCCTGTCTAAACCTCCTGCCTTTCTCTTTAAAAAAGATGTTCCCTGTTTATTGACCCTTCAACTAACAGAAACAGCTGCTTCCTATTCACCCTGCCAATGCCCCTTATAATCTTATATATCTCTATCACGTCCCCCTCAACCTTCTCTGTCCCAGAGAAAAGCACCCGAGCTTATTCGGCCTCTCTTCATAACTGAAATACTCCACCTTGGGCAACATTGTTGTGAATCTCCTTTGCACATCCTCCAGTGCAATCCCATCTTTCCTGTAGTGTGATGACCAGAACTGCACACAGTACTCTACCTGTAGCCTAACCAGAATTCCATACAGCTCCACCATGACCTCCTTACTCTTATAATCTATGTTAGGCAACTTCCTTTAATCACTTATGAAAACAAGACTTGGGTTCATAGCCCCACTTATAACCACTTAGAGTTATCAATTAAACTGAGAAATGGCAGAAACCCACCCTGATAATTAAAGGTTTTGGTGCCAGTCATGTAGTACCAATCCTGTAATGAGAACATTAAGCTTATCTCATCAGGCAGAGGGAATTGGCAAGCACAGATTTTCTAAATATTTAAAGAGTAGCAGTTTTAAAAGACTTCACAGTCTGACAGGCCAGTGAGTTTTACAGGTCCAAAGAGTTCATGCATCTTTCAGCCACATTTAATCTGTGCTTAACAATCATAAAGGATACCTGGTCTCCTTAAAAAAACATCCCAGGAACATAGCAAAAGGATATCTTATCTCACCAAAGATGTCAGACAGCTTTACAAGTTTGAAGTTCACAAGGCATGTTCCAGATATCACACTTGTGAAAACTAGTGGATGTGCAAATTGGAACTCACCCTGATTTCTTCCTATGCAAGAAAGGTACATGTTCAATTGGGGTAGGCCCTCTAGATTCCAGCCTCCAGTGTCATTTTTTTATAACCAGTGAAAGGCTGTTCATCTTTATGAAAATTTAGACAAAAATTATTTTCAAATAATATACAGCAAATAAGAACACAAGACCTAGGAGCAGAAGTAGGCAATTCACATCGCTGCTCCACAATTCCATACTATCACTGCTGGTCTCATTTCAGCCTCAACTCCACAGGATAAAGGACAGTGTAGAAGCAAAAAGTTTAGTAAGGCATTATATGTCGGCACAGTCTCGGTGGGTTGAAGGACCAATTTCTGTACTGTTTTGTTCTTTCTTCATTTCTGCTCACACCCAATAACCCTTCAACCTATGACTAATTAAAAATCTATTTCCTTAAATTTACTCGATATCCTGGCATCCGCTGTACTCTGCAATAGTGAATTCTACAGATTCATATCCTTTTAAGAGAAGGAATTTCTCCCATTTTCCATCTACTTTTTAATCCCCTTTAGTATCTTGTATATCGCAATTAGATCTCCACTCATTCTTCTAAAATCTAGAGTGTATAGGCTTAAATTGCTCAAGCTCTCTTCATAAGACAAACCCATCACCTCTGAAATCAATTTAATAGATGTCTTCTGAACTGCCTGGAATGTAAGAAAAGCAAAAATGCTTTGTTTTATTACTTTTTTTTAAAAAAGTAACTCTTTATTGATCTTTAATACTTTCCCAATCTTCCAGCCTGCTGCTGGCCTTTGCAATATGGTATGTCTTAGTTTTTGACTTCACGTTATTTTTTCTTGCTTAGCTTGTTTGCCCCGCACCTTACAATTCTTCCTCTCTGGAATATATATCACTTGGGAGAAATTGAATATCTCCCTAAACATCTGCCACTACTCATCAAATGTCCTATTGTTCGTATACCTGCCCAGTCCACCAGGGCCAAACCTGTCTTCATGCCTATGTAATTATCTTTGTTTAACTCCAGAACGCTCCAGTTTCTCGCTCTCCAACTGAATTTGAAATTATACTCTATGATCATTCTTCCCTACAGGATGCCTTACTAAGAAATCATTAACTAATCCCACCTCATTACAGAATACCAAATCTAGAACAGCTGGCTCCTGCTTGGTTCCCCAATATATTGCTCCGAGAAACATTCTTGAATACATTCAATGAACTCTCCCTCAAAGCTACCCTTACCAATTTGATTAGTTCTGTTTATATACATACTAAAATCACCCATGATTATTGTCATACTTTTCTTACAAGCCTGCAGTATTTCTTAGTTTATATTGTGCCCCACAATGGAGCTACTGCTTGTGGACCTATAGATTACTTCCATGAGGAACTGCTTTACCTTGCTACTTTTTATTTCTACCCTAACTGATTCTACATTCTGATCTTCAGTGTCTGTATCATTTCTCCCTACAGCATTGATCTCTTCCTTTACTAACAAAGTTATACCACCTCCTTTTCCTTCCTGCCTATCCTTCCAAAAGTAAGTCGTGCATATGACACAGATTTGGCAATCCAAATATATTTCTTTTTATACTTTGCTTTATTAATTTGCTTAAAGATGATAGATATCCCACAAAGAAAAATCTATTTAAAGCTTAAACCTTCAATTAAAATCTTAAATTTGAATCCCAGAAGTGCTGTCATCGAAACTTGCTTGCCTTGGTTGAAAGAACTTTGCCGGATCCCTGCAGGTTAAAAAAAGATGAAACAGCTAGCCACCAAGACAGGGAGAAGACATCCTAAAAATATATACTTTGAAAGAAAGGGTGGTGGGCAGAGATTAAAAAAAATCTGCTTACTATACGTATTATCTAAGTAAGTCTTTTATCTGTTCTAGAAACAAGAAGAAAATTGTGCTTTTGGATAAGTTAACAAGCAAGGACAATAAAACTTTGATAAGTATTGCTTTGTTAATGTCAAACCAGGCAGGGCATCTCAAAGAACCAAAATGTTTCTAAAATGTGATTCACTCTGTAAAATACTGATCTAAAAGTCTCTATAAATACTGCAACTGTAAGACATAACTGCAAGTCAACTTCAAATTTTTTTTTTGAAAATAGAAGTGTACTAGAAAGGCTTCATTTTTGGCAGATGCATGGGATCACCACCTGCAAATTTCCCTTCAACCCATATACCATCCTGACTTGGAAATATACAGATGTTTCTTCACTGCCTTGGGGTCAAAATCCTGGAACTCCTTTTTGGTACAGCAGTACAGATGCTCTGCAGCACCCCACCTAGGCTCCTTCAACAGTACCTTCTAAACTAATGACATGAACCACCTAACAGGACTACAGCACCAGATGCATGGGAACAGATGCAAGCTCGCTCTAAGCCAAACACCATCCTGATTAGGAATTATTTTGCTGTTTCTTCATTGTTGTGGATCTCCCTTTCTAGTAGTACTGTGGGTGTTATTGCATTCCAATAACTGCAGTGAGTCAAGGCAGTTCACCACCATCTTTTCAAGAGCAATTAGGAATGGGTAATATATGCAGGTCTGGATAGCGATGCACACATCCAGTGAACAAGTTTTTTAAAAAAATCTGGTGTAGGGATGTAGCAATATTCACATGCATAGAAACACTCATGAAATTATCCTTTTCCTTCCAAGGAAACCTTCTAGTTTTTGCATCACACACAGCTATCTGATGTGTAAATCCACTGAATTCGCTCAGGGGAGAAAAACGCATGCAAGTCTTGGTTTCTGTGTGTTAGCTGTCACTGTTTTAAACAACAAAAGACCCATAAACCTTTTGCAACATAATCAGTGTGACAACACGGAGGAAAGTCCACAGCCAGAAAATCACGTGGTTATGACCTTTAAACAACTCTGGGCGAATAAGATCATGCACAGACTGCTTTATTGCCACTAAGTGGAAATGGGGAGGATTCAGTACACTGGGAGACCATCAATGTCTATACAAAGCAGTCATGCATTTCTCAATACCTTCATCTGGGAATTTATTCCAAGTACATAAAAGGAGAAAATCATTTGATTTGGTTCCTGTAACTAAACCTTTGCTTCCTTAGCTGTCAGTCTGGCAGCATGAAAAACATTAATAAGATATAATCTGACAGTTTATCATCTGATCTAATGCATATTCTAAAAACTACTCATGTCAGAACATTAAAATGGGAGTTAAAGTGGTAAGGGTATTGGATAAAATCACGGTAAAAGCATGAAGATGTATTTATATCGCCTTTGCTCATTACTATTCTGTCAAAAGATACGTCAGAAAGCACAAGTCTGACAGCTTGTATTCAACTAATAGGATCACACCACCGCCTCTGTCAGTAGATCAAACAATTCTACAGCCATGACATTTTAAATTGATGCCTTCTCTCCTGCTCCTTCTCTCAAGAGAATGCTGGTTTACAATGTGCCACAATAAAGCGATGCCGAATCTGATCAATCGTTATTTTTAATTCTTTACCTCAATAACCTTCCATCCACAAATAAACTAAAACAATTCTCACCCATCTTGTAAAAATAGTTTACTGAATTAATATTATTTGAATTAAAGAGCACTCAAAGATAATGTAGAGAGGTTTGTCCCTGCAGTAATAGAGTCTATGACTCACCGTTCCTGGCACGTGACTTTTCTCCGGCTTTCCGTTTTGAGGGCTTCCATTCTTTTGTTTCTTTTTCTTCTTCATTGTTTCCCTGTGCTCCTTCTGTTTGTTTTGAACCTCAATAAGTATCGAGATGAAGCTGTTTTTCACCTCTTTTTCAAACTCTAGCTCATCACGCAATGCTAACTGTTGAATCAGTTCCTCCGAGTAGTGTTTTATTGTAGTCTCAATCTCCTCCAGAAGCTCATTTAATTCAGCTATGGGCAATCGCTTCACACCTGAAAAATGGTTAACAGAAGTAGCTGAAAAGCCAAGCAAAATGTACAAATGGAATAAAGAACTCTGGGGCAGTTCAAAGTACAAGATTGCAGCCATTTTGAGCTTTGTCTTTTTGGAAAATCAAGCAAATACGACTTTGCATTATCAAACCATTGATCAATAGATGAGAAGTACATATGACCTACAGTCATTCATTAAGGTTAACTGAAAGCAGAAAATCATTTTCAGATACCGAATGACCTGCCGTTTAATGTCCTCTAACCCAAATTGCAACAGCATCCTCACAGAGCATGTCAATCAGGTACCAAAACATACGTTAATCATATCCCCAATAACAAAACCATGAGGTTAACATGGTTGAGGGATGCTCCATCCATTTATTCAGCAAGCTTGGAAGTAGTCCTGTTTACAATTTTCTTCCCTAGTTTATGTAACCCCAATATATAGTGATTTTTTTCATAAAACAGACATGTTGCTGGAGCTTTTCATCTTGAACTCAAAAAGGTGAATGCAACAATACCAAATTTCAAACAACAATAACAATTTATACTACAAGAGGAAAGGGGGGTATAATTAACTGACAAGTTGATTTTGATTGGCCAAAGTCTGTGTCATGGAAAATATACCAAGGAACTATTGATTCTCAAGCCTCCAGGTATTTTTTTTTTTTTTTTTAAGTGCATTCCTTCAGCTGTTTGTAACAGGCAGAGTTGCAATTATATCCAACCAACCTAACATGCAAAATCCAAAACAAAGCATCATCTGTCAGAAGCGATTTTGAAATTGGGCAATACATGGTGAACTGAAGGACTGAAGAAGGGTAATACCCAAAACATTGACTTCTCCTTTCCTCCAAATGCGGCCTGGCTTGCTGTGTTCTTCCAACCTCCTGTCTGTCTACCTTGGATTCCAGCATCGGCAGTTTTTTTTGTCTCTAATATGTGTGGACCTCTTTGCTGCAAATGAACAAACTCTGTAAAAAGAATATATTCAAGCTTTGCATATTTTTCAAGTTACCTGGAGGCTTGGGGCTCTATAGTTCCTGGTTGCCTTCTCCATAATAATACCTCAGCCAATCAGTCGACATGCTAACCAACCAACTCTTTTTTTTCCTCACATACTGTAAAGTGTTATCATTTGAAATTTACCATCTTTGGTTCATCCTGATAAGTGCAAAATAGAAAGCTTTGGCAACACATTTGCCTTTTTGGCAATATTCAAGCTCTGTGTCACCAGGTGACTTTTCACATATTGTGAGTTACATAATCAAACATATTTACCTTACATTCTTACAGGTAGACAAAAACGTTTACCTAAATATCAGCACTCTTCCTGCATGGCTTTTTTTTTTACTATTTCCTTTCATCTTCTCTACAATTAAGTATTCCAGTTGCTAAACAACAAGAAAAACTAACAGCTTGATTTTTCTACATGACAAAAGATATATACTGTGCCTTTTTTCCCCCTTCCTTTGCCTCACAAAACTGGATTTCAAGGGTGCCTGTATCTACATTATTCATTATTTCCTGTGCATTTTTTGTATTAAGTATGGTTGCAGATATCCCTTAATCTAGCTCAGAAGCATTTGAACTGCAGTGTTTTCACATAGATTCTCAGTATAATCCATCTGCGGCACTTCAAAACCTGTTCTCTCTTCCTTTCTGTTGAAAGCACCGATTAATGCACTTGTGCCTACACGTCTCAGAACATTTTTGATATTTAAGCCTGAAGGAAAAGGACAATATTTAATTTGCAGATTCCATACTGTTTTATACACATAAATGCACAAACTCTCAGTTCCTTGACTCTATCTATTGCTAAATCATCTGTAAAAAAAGAGTGTGTTCCGGGCTGTGGTGCTCCCCACTATACAACCCAAACCCTGGGTCTGCTATGTAGATGACACCTTCGTGTATCAAACGCACAAGACAAGAAGAAACCCACCAACACAAACAACATTCTCACGGTTTTCTTCTTCTGTGAATTTTATTCCAATAACCAATTACCCTTCCTAGACATAATGGTAGAACACAAGAGCAACAGGAACCTCCAGGCTAGAAACTCCAGAAAGACCACACGTATGGCCCAGATATTTAATTACTCCAGCAACCACCACAACACCCATAAACGGAGCTGCATCAGGACATTATTCAAATGGGCCACAACACACTGCAGCAACACGGAATTGCGCAATGCAGAACAGGAGCACTTATACAGAGTTTTTGAAAGGAATGACCCAAAAAGCACAATCTGCCATTACCTCCGTGACAGACCACAACAAGAAGACACAACACAGCCAGACACCCTACTGTACATCAGAGACGTATCAACGATGACCACAAGACTACTCAGACCCATAGGTATCAGGGTAGCCCACAAACCAACAACCACCCTGCGACAGTTAACTGATGAACATAAAAGATCCCGTACCCACAACCAATAAAACTAATGTAATATACAAAATACCATGCAAGGACTGTGAGAAACATTACATAGGTCAAACTGGAAGAACGCTGACAATAAGGATACATGAACACCAACTAGTCACCAAGAGACACGACCCATTCTCACTGGTCTCAATACACACGGACAAAGGACACAAATTCGACTGGGACAACACATCCATAATAGCACAAGCCAATCAGAGACATGCCAGTGAATTCCTGGAGGCCTGGTATTCCATAGGGAATTCCATCAACAAACACATTGAACTGGATCCGATATACAAACCACTGAAAAACAGAACCGGAATTAATGCCAACCACCCAAGCAAACTGCGGCATATAAATAACAAGCGGGACAGAACACCAACACTTCACCGGAGGCACACGGACGATGTTACCTAGCCGGGTGATGAAACGTCTGCAATCAAACACACTGGCTCAGTGAGCAAGTCTACAACCTCAAACCCATAATAATTGTCAATTTCCTGCATTTACATTGTCCAAACTGACCCAATATTTATTTTGCCCCAGCTTTAGTTCCAATTATCAACATTGAAAACAATTTACAAATTAATTCTCTTGAACTTTAAGTTCATTGTATTCCTTTAACAATACTATTTTTAAAGTTCACATCCAAATGGCCAATTTCCACAAATGAACTTGAAAACAAAGTCTGCGTTCATAAACAAGATTGAAAGTTTGAGTACTTGTTTTCTTTTTAGACAATTTACTTTCCACCCCCCCACAGTTATCAATAACAAAATCTGTATCCCATGAGGACAGAGCAAACACCTCCAACTTGCAGATTGAAAGTCCTCCTTTTATAATTACCTTTGTGTCACTTGTGACTTTTATAGGGTTTGAATACTGGTTATCTTTCCAGTTTTGCCCCTTGTTTTAACATGTTGCAAGGGGAACTGTGCAAAGTAGGCAAATTCACTTTGCAAGCAAACAACTCTAACAACTATTAGACAATAACACTGGGATCTAATCTGGAATGGATTGTTAGAATGCAGAAAGTGGGGATTAAGGGTAATCATGCAGAGTGGAGCAAAATGGCGTTTCACAAAGATCAGTGCTGGAACCACTACTCTTCATTTTGTACACTGACAATGTGGATTTTGAAATCAAAAACTGAATTTCTAAGGATGCAGATAACAACAAATTGCAATGGGGTGGTGGCAGTGGATGGAGGAGGAAGTTGAGGACTGCAATAAATTATAAGAGGACATTAATAAACTGGCAGAAAGGGCAAATAGTTGTCAAATGAAGTACAACACCGATGTGAGGTGGCACATTTTGGCAGAAAGAACAGAAAAGTCACTTATTACTAGGAAGAAGAGGTAAAAGAAGAAAGGGATCTTGGAGAGTCAACACTAATCACCACAAGTTGTATCAGCTGTTAGCAAGGCCATCAAAAAAAGGGAATCATACAAAATACTTTATTTCTAGATGCACAATTGAAAAAAAATGGGGAACCACATTTAGATTTCTATTAAATTAAAAAAATTAGAAACACTAGGTGATGCAGAGAAAGCTTACAAGGATGTTACCAAGAATGGGTAGGTATACATAGGAGGAAAGATCGATAGGTTTGGTCCCAACAAATTATGAATGTTTAAATGGAAAAGACACAGAGACAACTAACTAGATAAGAGTATAACTATAAATCAATGTTAGGTGGTGGTGTTACAATTCACTCAGTACATCCAAGTTGCCGTGACACTTTCACCTACAATGTTGTAGTCTGGAACTGTGAATCTTTATAAGAAATTCCAATATTCTTCGAATTACAAGGTTGACCAATAATCTCTCCTGCTATTGCTGTCATTAGTGTCCGTTGGAAGGATTTGCAGATTCATGTTCAACATGATTGGTTGTGTCATAAAGACACCTTCCTTGGCCATCGAGGTAGGTGGAACTCAAACTCAGAGCTTCTAGCTCAGAGGCAGGGATGCTATCCACTGTGCTAAAGCCCTCCAATACAAAATAGTCACCAGCAAAACCAATACAGGATGTAGAAGAAACCTTTTTAACTAAAAACAGTGGCAAGAATGTGGATCTCACTATCATGCAGGGATTAAAGTGAACATTGAACGTTTTCAAGAAAGAGTCAGATATAGTTCTTAGGAGATAAAGGAATCAAAAGGAAATGAACAGAAAGTGAGAATAGAGTTCTGAATTGGATGATAAGCCATGATCATATTGAATGGTTGAGCATGCTTGAAGGGTTGAATGGTTGATCCCTGCTCCAATTTTCTGTGTTTCTTTGCAATAGTACAGTTGGAATTATTTTCTGCATTGCTTTCAATGAAACAGTGGTTGTATCTCAACCAGCATTCTTCAAAAAACTCAAATAAGTTAGTGAGACACTGATTACCCATACATAAAGCCATGTTAACTATCCCTCATCAGTTCTTGCCTTTCCAAATACATGTAAATCCTGTCCCTCACGATCCCCTCCAACAACTTGCCCACCACCGATGTCAGGCTCATCGGTCTACAGTTTCCTGGTTTTTCCTTACCACCTTTCTTAAATAGTGACACCAGGTTAG